GTCCAGTTTGGGCAAGTTCAACCCTGAGAAGCTGCAGCATCTCCCGAGAACGAGAGCTGTTAATCGCTGGATGGCTCTCAGCGAGCAGCACCTCAGTCTCACAAATAAGAGCACGTGCTGATGCTTGCCAACGACCCACAGAGCCTTTCGGGGGTGCCTCAATGGCATCGGCATCCTCATCCTCCGCTCCCTCGGCAGAATTATCACTGTCCAACACACACGAGACCACATCGTGAATAGAATTACCCTCAATCGGATGGCTTGTATCCTCCTCTTGTTCCGCATTAAAAAAAGAACTGAGTTCAGAAACGTCTAAATTATCAATACCGGAGCAATTCTCGAGTCCCCTGAGATCATCAGCCAAGTGCTCCATAACACCATCGAGCCATTCAGGTTGGGTTATGTTATGGTTTGTACAGTCAACATCACTTTGTACAGTAGTGTTCTCAAGATATTTAAGATAGTCAGCGCCCTGACGCTTTGCTTCCCGTGACCGATGCTCAGATATTGTGTTCTGTATTTGTAACGGTGTTCCACTGTGTGGCAGCTTGGCACTCTTCCCACAATCTGTGGCAGATAATAAAGCAGCACGGAGCTCTCTGTCTTGATAAGGTGCCAGTATGTCACAACTCAGCCAACCATTAATAACCACCTTTGTCGGCACGAGGTTCCACGCTGTTGCCATCATACACACCGCATCATAAATCGTCACAGTTTTTGACAGCTTAAATGACTCTCGACACTCAGGGGGTTTCGCCATCTGTACATTGACATACTCCAGTACGTGATTAACCAACAACCTCCTAAATGCTGCTTTAAAAGATCTTCCAATGGAGGCGTCTACAGGCTGTACCACAGATGTGAGGTTGGGTGGCAGAAACTGGGTCTCGACATTTTTAAAGCTGCTGTAATCAATAGCATGCGCCGAGCAGTTGTCCACCAGATGTAAAACTTTTCGACCTTGACTGGCAGCTGCTTTCTCTAGTGCAGTGACCTGTTTCTCCCAAAGATATTGTGTATTCCAAGCATGACCTTGATTATAATAGTATATTCCAAAATCTCGCGTTGGGTCGAAACGCTCAGGAAATGATTTAGGCCCCTTTGACTTTCCTATTATAACCAAAGGTGCTTTAACTCCATCTGCAAATACAGTGAAAACAGCTGTGAGCCTATCCTTGATTCTTGTGTAGGAGGACGCTCGATCTGTAGTACCCACTGTACGTGAAGGGAATGAGCGATACAGTACAGCTACCTCATCTGTATTCATGAGATCTGTCGGGCTTGTTGTGCAAACTAATCGGGGCAACCTTGATCTGGCATCCTCTACGAATTTGGCCTCATGCATGCCGTTCTGTCCTCGAGGTTTAAAACTTGCCAGGTGGTTCTGATCCATAAAGTTATGAAACCAATGCTTGCTACCTTTAAATGCTTTCAAAGAGAACATTCTATCCTCCAAAAGAGCTCTTTCTGGTTGGCTCTCGTTAGTTACCAATTTGGTTTCCAATTTAGTTACCATCTCATCTCGGATCTCGAAGGCAATCTTTCGTATGACATCTTCTCTAAAGATAGACTCACCTCGTAAGTAGTTAATCCTGCTTCGGATGTAAGTATTCACTGCTTGATCTAGTTCTGGGTGGTCGCATTTTCTAATTGTTTTCCGTTTCTTGTTGCTTTTTAGTGACTCATAAGTCTGCATAATGGCAGGGGCGTTTCTTTTCCAGTTGTACACAGCAGTCCTTTGGACGTGCAGAAATTCTGCTATTGACTTCACGGTATATGGCTGTTGGTTTTTTGGGTTGAGGTAAGGTCGTCCGAAGGTTCCATCGTCACGTGCGCCGAGGAGGCGCAAGGCCTCCTTCTTCGTGGTAAGGAGAGTGTGACTTCGCTTTCTGGCTTGATTCGTTAGTTCTGCCATCGACATCATACCAGAGGGGGCGTGATTTGAGGGGATCAGAGGGGATGGGGGCGTGACGGAACAGGAAGGAAGGTCTCGGGACTCGAAGGGCACCTCGCAGAGAACTTTGCGCTGGTGAGGTGTTTACGTTGCATGTTGGTAAAGGGGGGATGTCCCCAAAATGGAACACATTGGAAAAAATAAAAACGAATTATCGACAACTGGTGCGATTTCCACCATTCCAACCAAAAAAGACGACTCATTACAACCTTCACGTCACAGCAGCGACAGCGACATCACTGAACAGGATTTTATGCCAATGAAAAGGCTCAACGTAGAGGCCAAACGAAACTCTTTCTGTAACGAGGTGTCCTCAAATGGTACACCCCAAAATTGACTGGCCATCAAACATTTATTCAAAAAAACCACAGAAAGTTGAGCACACACAGGACTACTGTCATCAAAAAAGGAGATAACTGCTCAAGCCATCCCATTTCGGAGCGTGGCCAGAGCCGCAGCCGCTTCACGATTATCTGCCACTCGCTTGGCAGCAACTTTGCGACGCATTTCTATGGATCGTGGAGCTCTGAAGGGCTCGTTGTACAGCAATGCCCGACGCCTAACGCTCTGAACTGCGAACGCTTCTCGCGCAGCCTTCTTATCAGCCTTTTCGAACGCCCGACGAGCGTCGATAGCTGCTTTTTTTGCTTGCTGCGCAGTCCACTTAGCTAGTTTTGCCTTCTCCTCTTCTTGTATTAACGCCATAGCTTCATCGCTCGTCAGTGTCAAACCCATCGACGTATCCAAAAACCCACGGTGCAATACAACAGGCTGAATTCCGATTTCGTGTCTTCGGGCAATCCTTTTTTGCTCCAGTAAGGAAAACATTTCTGGAACAAACATGAGCTTATTTCTCCGCCCAAGCCCATCAGGCTTCGGGCAGTCCAACTATTTTGTTGGATCGACTGGCCATATGCCGGCCCTGTGAAAACTAGCACAAATGTTGGCATGAGTAAACGACCCATTGAATGCTTCTTTTAGAATATTACAGAAGTCAAAAATGTCGTATGGTTCTGTCTGCCTCACAATGGAAATCTCACGCATGGTAGACAGGATTCGATCTTTGAACGTTGAGAAAACAGTCAAGTCGAGAGGCTGTGTCTTGCCGCTCGTGTGTACCGGTAGACAATACGCTATCACTCCTCCATTGCGCAAAATCGTTAGAGCTTGAAGCGACATATGGCTCCTATATCCATCATATAAAAGTAGCACCTTCCTATTGTTTGCAGTCAAATCCGGTACATCCTCGACAAAAATTTCAGCCCAACGCGCAAAGTTGGACTTGTCAACCCCAGCTAGTTCCTCCCGAGTTGTGACAATAGATTTACGTGGCAGACAGTCTGCCAAGCTTTCACGACAACAGATACCATCACGCTCCACAGTTCTATGCTGTAGCCTTGTGCCCTTGAATATGAAGAGCGGACGGCCCATGTCTCCGGAGGCAAAAATGACTGGCATAATGGTGACTCGGGAAACGTTTTTGAATTCAGGAATGCGGACCTGATTGACATTACCGCGGAGACAAAACGTCTTAGCACTGCCCAAACCTAGCGCCTCCTTCTCTGCAGTGGCACCAGACTCATCCAAATTTGCCAATCGCGCTGAGTCTATATTATGCCGTTTGATTAAGTCTTCTACAGCTGCGAGATGAGTCGTTAATGTGTTGCCGTTGATTGCGGCATATCTTTTACCCTCCTGTCTCAGAGCTCGGACAAATGAGATTGAACTCTTGTGACGTTCCTTGAACCCTCGCACAAATTTATCACCCGGGCGACCATTTTTAAATGGATGTGTTTCCCGCCTTTCATCATCCATCTCCTTTACAAGGAGCTCAACAGCATCCTTTATATCTCTGTGCCCAATAAGAGGGTAGCCTCTACAGGCATATTCGCTTATAAGGTCAATTATGCACTGCTCTTCCTCGGATGTGAGGGACAATCGTTGATTTTTCATATCTCCGTTCTGGTTTAAGTGCTTGTGGAGCCTGCGACGAAATGTCGTCAGTGGCATGTGGGCCAGTTTTGCAGATCCACGGAGCGTGGCCCCCTCATTGAACGCGTCAACAGCTGCATTAAATCTTGCGCGTTCCTGCACAAATCGGCGCCTGATACTGCGCTTCGAAATTGTCATGCTAGAGGCGCTGACAGATGACTGCTCCAGCGGGCGGGGGTCACTTGTCTCAGAGAGTCGTGAGACAGCAGGAATCCGATCCAATTGGCACTTTGAGGTAGGACAGTGCGCGGTTAAACGTTCGTATCGCGAAGCATATGGTTCAACTTTAGATAGGCGGGAAATTGGGCGCCAACCTTGGCTGCCAATGTGCCCTTTTTGCTGACATGGTTCGCTTTTTGTGGCGCGAACGCTTTTGGGGAGGGAACGTGAGTGCAATCACAGTCTAAGATGATGGGATACAGACAAGGCAGGGCTCCAAAACAGGGCAAATGAGACCAGAAAGCAGCATTGTCAGTCGCGTCCTTAATCTTTATTTAAATTTTGTGGGCGGAGAAATGTACCACTTCGAGGGAGAGTGTTCCATTCTGGGGACACCCCCCCTTTATATTGCGACACAATCGATGTATCGTTTGGGGACAGAGTCAGGTACAGCGTGCATGAACTGCTTACATGAGCATTACAGAGAATACTCGCTACAGTGACATTCCCTCTGTAGTGACAAAAACGCCCCAATTGGTGGAACCCCTTTTTTGTCACTGGAAAGGGACTTTACTCTGTATACTGTGCACTTCCCTCTCCACATGTCTCCTGGCCAGGGGGCACTCCCATTTACCACATTGGCACGTTTAAGAACCACAATGCAGAGGTTTCTGGATCACTCCCGAAGCGTCCCTTTCATCGCATCAACACACTACTTTAGCTTCCGTACCGCGCCGTCCTTGGCATCGCACGAAACTTCTTGCACCCGCTGCGATTTCGCATAGACGAAACGAGCAATGTTATCGTTTACCCCCATATCCCACAAACCGAAGCAACACAAAAGAACTTGTTCATCCTGCTCTGCTTTCGCTTCGCGCCCATCTCGTGAGACTCGATGGAACAAGGTAAGCCCGTGTCCGCAAATTCGACTGCCACAGCAGCATTGGAAGCCTTGCAGAAGGCCCGGACAGAAAAAGAAGCGCAGGGTGTCATTTCCGGCAATGATATCACCTCGCTCAACAAATTCCTGCAATGGAGTACAGCGAACACTACGAAACCGGAGCAGGCTTCATCAGGCGACAAAGCGACTGAGAAAACCGAAGAGCAACTTGCCGCCGATCGCGAATGGCTCGACGCAGCTTTCCCTGATATGTTTGCCGATGTCAAACGTGTCTTCGCCAAGCTCACGAAGGAGAAAATCCGCCCATCACAGAGGAAAAGACCGAGGCAGTAGAAGAGTTGGAGGAGATGTTTGAGGATTTGAATTATGCTATCAACATCGATAAACTTGGGGCTTTGCAACCCATTTTAAATTGTGCCGCAGCAGATGAACCTGAAGTTCGCGCTGCCGCTGTCTGGGCCCTCGGCTCTGCTCTGCAGGATTTGAAAGAGGTGAAAGATGTCTTCATGCAGCGAGATGGACATGAAGTCTTGGCAAAATGTCTCTTAGACCTCAACGCAAAGGTGAGGGCGAAGGCTGTCATGGCGTCATCGGCCTTGTTGAGAAATTCGTCAAAGGAGATTCGAGAACGCTTTGCAGAGCTGGGAGGCACTATCTCTCTCCGGCGTCTTCTCGCAGATGATAACATTTTGGTAAGGAGACGAGCCAGGTTCTTCATGCAACATGCGAGGGCAACGGGAAATGAAGAGTTTGTGCGAGATCTACTTGACGACCGGAATGCCATTGCCGCGTTTTCAGAGTCCATTGCCGCCCTCGATGTTGACGATGTCGCTGATATGGAAGCAGGCATTGGAGCACTGCAAGTACTGGTCGAAATAGATAAGCAAGGCCTGCTGAGAGTCGCACCAGAGTTGCCAGGAGTCATCGATCAAGTAGTTGCCCGATGCGGGGATCCAGACCTCGCTGAATCCTTGACAAGTCTTGCAGACTCGCTGGGAGGATGATGTTCCTCACGGGTACAGAGTATCTGATTTAATTCATGTTAGACGAGGGTGCAACGTTGTAAAGTGTAACAGTAATCCTTAAATCCTCTTAATAACAGAGCTTGATGTCGCCTTGACATGTGAGGCAAAGGCCTCCAAAACTTGCGAATCCAAAAAAGGTCGTCATGTACCCAGCATTCTACGAAGAACTCTTGAGAGCAGCAACAACGGCATCAGTAAACTCGGATGTTGACGCAGCTGCAGCTCCTTCCGCGGCCACGTCGCGAGTTCGAATATCTGTTTCTGCGAACACGCTCATGACGGCCTTCTCAATCGCTTCCGCGCGCTCCTCTAACTTGAGATACCTGAGCATCAGCACTCCGCCCATGATGGTGGCCGTGGGATTCGCGATTTGTCGGCCAGCAAGGGAGCGAGCCGAATGTCTAGTTCCCTGCTCAAATATGGCTCCGCTAATGCCTATGTTGGCGCCTGGGAAGAGCCCCGGTCCACCGACGAGACCAGTGGCGATGTTTGTGACAATGTTGCCGTACAGATTTGGCAAAATCATGACATCAAATTGCTGCGGGTTCGAAGCCATCTGCATGCACGTGTTGTCCACAATCATGGATTCAAACTCAATAAAAGGATACTTGCTGGCAACGTTTGTGCAGCACTCAAGGAACAGGCCGTCTGCACTCTTCATTATATTTGCCTTGTGAACTACGGTGACCTTCTTTCTATTGTTGGCAAGGGCATATTGGAAGGCATACTCTGCGATACGAGTACTCTTCTCCTCGGTGATGATTTTCAAACTCTCAACGACACCAGGCACAGCGCTGTGCTCTAGACCCGAGTACTCGCCTTCAGTATTCTCGCGAATCATGACGACATCAATATCCTTGTGCCTGGTTTGAATTCCGGGAATGTTGTACGCATGGACGACATTTGCAAAAAGGTCAAAAGACTTTCGCAGCTGAATATTAATACTTGTTTCTTTTGTGCCGAGCGGTGTGAAATACGGCCCTTTCACAGCAACTCTTGTTTCCGCGAAGAGATCGATGACTTCTTGAGTAAGTCCGCCATCGACCCTGGGGTCAACCTTCGGGGAGACAAAGGAGACTGGTACATTGGCGGCTTTGAAAATTTCGGCGAGTGACTCTGTGACCTCTCGGCCAATGGTATCGGTGTCTCCCTTCAACAGAAGAACGGGTGTGTCCTTGCTTGCGGGAGAAGAAAGGGGGAAGAAGTTGCGGGCCGGATCGTGGGCCATTGTGGTGGGAACCGAAAGAGTGGTGGCATGGCGGTGATGTGAAAGCTGAGTAGCGACACGGCGAAGATGAGAAAGTCGAGACTGCATTGTTAGTCTTAGGGGAGATCAAGAGCGTCTCTTTCGGGAAGTCGTGGGCTGTGAGAAGAGGACTACTGCACGTCAGTTGGTGATGATTACTACCGCATAAGCAATGCTGTGCTACATCTTGTCGTTTTAGGCATACAAAAAAAGGATGCTGCTGTTTTTAATCGGGGGAATGATTGCTTACAATCGATACGTGGGCCCTAAACACATCTTCTTCATCCTGCCCAGACATTTTCACTGCGCACACATCACCCGGCCTTCCTCCCGCGGATCCCGTCCGTAGGGGTTTCCCCTCTTCCACAACCGCGCCCACATCCTTGCGAGGGTAGGATCCATGGTGGGGCCTCTTCTTCCAAATGCGACACCACCCCAGTCACCTACGTCGGGTTTATCCGGACTGGTCGGTTCGTTGCGCGCCGATGCATCGCTGCGAGTTTTTCTTGATCCCAAATTCTCTCCAGAAGAACACGTCGGCCTTGCGGTACGCGAAGAGCGGATATCATCCGCACTAGAAGATGCCCGCCGCGCGTCTTCTCTGCTCACCGCAAACGTCCGACAAGAGGTGATCCGCCGAAAGGAAGCTCTCCTTGCCGAGGTGGAAGCCGTTGACGCTTTAGAGAAAGAGGTCTCTACTGTTTCTACAGGCGTCTCGGCGCTTACGTCTGCTACAGATACCCTTGCTGATGCCTTGCAGACACCATACAAGCCCATGGTCGTCGCCGTGAACCGTATGCAAAATCTCGTCGCCGCCGGAGACTTGCTGCGCGCCGTTCATAGGTTTAGGATATGCACAGCAAAACTAGCCGAAGCCGGCCTTTTCCCTGCTGTCGGGCCATCCGACGCTACTACGCCAGATAACTTACCTGCAGCAGCAGCAGCGCTCCGTGAGCTAGAGGAACTCACCGGGTCACAAGGACCCCAGGGTCTTGAGAAAGTCGATGGCGTTGCGAAGGATATTATCGCCGTTCGAAAAGCAAGCACGGAAACTCGAAAGCGCGCCACCGCAATTTTAAAAGCGGGGCTTGCGTCACGAACACAAACAGATGTGGAAGCGGCGGTGTCTGCCTTCTCATCTCTTAATATCCTTGATGATCGCATTAATGCGGAGCTCGCAAGATTACTCAGAGAGACGCAGAGCTCCATGCACCGAGCGCTGGATGCTCCGCATGGAGCTGTGGTGCCTGCTAGGGGGAGGGGACTCAGAGGCATTCCTAGCATTGGATCTGTCGCGGCATCTCCCGGAGGCGTTGATGTATGGGCGAACATAGATAGAATGCTCGAGGTTGTCGCACAGGCTTGCTTCAAGGCAATCCTACTTCAGCAAGTGCTATCAAGAAAGTACTGTGATGTTAGCCATATGTCTCTACTTCACGATACCGTCGCTTCGAACTTCATCGATGCCTTGTCACGCACGATGGCCGAGCAAATTGGCATGCTTGCCCGCACAAGAAAGCGACGGCCCGCCGCGGGTTACGTATTTCTTGCTCTCGCGGAGGGCTTCCCGCGGCTGAAATCGTCCCTCGTCAATTTATCAGACCGTGTCAGTGCGCTGGCACGTGTTTCCCCCACGCCAATCACCAAAATTGTTAACGCATCAAAACTTCCTCTTATCCCGAACCACGAGTTCATACAGAATGCTTTCTTCAGCGCAGTGGTCGAAGTCGAGACGCATTATCTCACGGCCTCTCTCGAACGGCTGACTGCGTCTGTTTCGTCATTCTTCGAAGGCACTAAGTATGCCGGTGAGACAGAGGCTCTTACACTGACAAAGGCGCTTGCAGCTGAGCTCACGGCTGCGCGTGGTGACAAGCAGTTGCTACGCACCGCAGTCAACAATGTAGCCACAGCGCTTCGCTTGTACACAAGCCACGCAGAGGACTACGCCGCGGCGACAGCTATAGATGACGATGGGAGAGCTCTCGGGGAGGTGGAGGAATGGCGGCTAACAGGTTTGTACAACGGAATGGTAACTCTAGCAGTATCGGCTTCTAGAATTTTAGGCGAACGTGATGACGGATCAGGACCAATCCCCGAGCCCATCTCTAAGGAATTGGGGACGTTGAAGCATCTGTGTGATTTGTTGCTTGACGGACCGTTTTCAACGTGCAGGAGTAATATTCGCAAGGTGCTGCTACGAATGCATACAGAAGACTTGACTGGCGAAGTAGGGGATGATGGTTGCAGCGTTTACGTGTTAGATATCTCCTCTCAAATATCAATGTTTGCGGATGGAATCATTCCCGGGCTAACTCGTTCGCGGTCATTGGGAAAATTCACACTTGATCTGGCCAAGTGGGTGCTGGATGCATTTGCACAGAGCGTGGCTTTGGTTTTTCCACAAACTGAGCTTGTCAGGCTGAGATTGTCAACAGACATGGCGCGCATTGAGTTGGCAGTCGAAAGTCTATGTGCAGCCCGACTTCTAGGAAAGAGCTACCAGTGCATTCGAGCCTTGCGAACGACTATGATGTTGAAGACGGAGGCACTACACCAAAATGATGAAGAGCTCTTCGACCAATTGAATGCTCTTCGGCCATCGACACTGGCTCATTTGCTTCTTGCACGTTCGAGTGAAGGTGGGTTGAAACAACCTCACCGTAGGCAAGATATCTCTCCGAGCGAATACGCGTCATGGCTAGAAAGCCACACTGAAGAAGAAGCATGGGAACAAGTAGAACTCTCTCTGGAGGAGTACAGAACGACTGAATTGAAGCCTGGGAGTGCTCCTTGCCCCGAGTATAAGGCCGTAACGTCCCTATGCAAGAAACTACGAGAGTCTGAAAACTAAAAGGGAGCAAACAGTCCATTCTAATCATAACTAAAATCTACGTTTGTAGGTTTTCTCAGTGTAGCAATACTTTCTCTGACAGCTCTGAACGACTAAACTTCCGACGTGCGCCCTGAAGCATGGTGAGCCAGTCAGGATTATGTTACACTCACCAGCATAGATCGGCGCGCGACAGCATGTGAAGGCGGTTGCGAGGACAGTATTGTAGAGGCTGTTCATGGAGTTGTGGATAACTCGCTTGTGTGACTTTTTCTGCACAGTTTATAGTAAATGGCGTCGTTTTCGCCAGGACCTTTGCTTCCCTGGTGATTGGTGTTGAAGTTTGCTGTTTCGCGTTTTGCAGAGGCACGCCGTTTCACAAGAAGCTCGGTCGTTGAGGTTGCGGACTAATGTCGAGGGCTCTGCGCCACCGCGCTTCGTGTTCGATACGGACAACGATTTTCCGCAGGGCGTGAAGATCGCCGACTGTGGCGTATGGATGTCCATTTGCCGACACCAGGGATTTTGGGAGATAATCGACTCACTCAAGCGCAGTCTGTCGAGCCTCTTGTCTAGTCCCTCTGTGAAAATGCTGACGAAGACCTCGAGGGTCCATCCCATCGACTTAAAACGCGTGCCAACGACAGGCAATCCGACAGACTCATGACCACGTGTCTTTTGAAGCTTATTGGCAGAAATGTAGAATTGTCGCAACGGCGTTTGTGTCTATGGGCGGAGAACGAATAAGCACGGAGTTTTGAGGTTGCACGCATAAAGCACTGGATTAAACATATGAATATGTCCGGGAATGAGATCACTGTTGGTGTGGTGGTGGTCCCATCAGGGACGTCTCAAGACATGAGAGGGAGAGGGTGGAACAGGAATAGACGCAAGGCGGGGAGGGGGGGGGTCTCGAGCTTTTTGTTTGTTGTTGTACATTTGTTAAGGTGTGAGTTGTCAGAGAGGCGTGGTTCGTGGTGAGAACACGAACCACGTTCTCCTTGTTCTCATCACTGATGAGTGCAGTGCTGTTGCCGTTACAGACTGCACATGTACCAAGGGTACCAAGGGTACCGTACATCGGGAAAAAGAGCCTTCTTGGGCACCTCGGAGTCCTCATGAGGACCCTCATGGGTCGTTGCTGGCGTACTTATATTGTAGTGTCAGCATGTCTGCATGTACTAGTTGCCAGCAATGACTTCCATAATGGTGGGTTATCTTCGTATCGTACAGATTCGGATTTTCGGATTTTCGGATTCGAACAGGAAGGAGCGACCCGCCAACGGCGCTGTAAGAGCGGCGTGCCTTGGGTCCTTGCTGTTACCATTGAGAAGGCTTCAGACCCTTAAAAAAGAAGGTGTGGCCACCCCATACCCGTCAGACGGTATGGGGTGGCCACACCTTCTTTTTGAACACTGTGAAGGGTACTGTAAAAAGGTAAAAAGGTAAAAAGGACGCAGAAAAGCTGATTTTTGCCCTCTTGGCGCTGCCGGCTTCGGCCGTACCGCAAACCAACTGTCGTCTCTCCACTTTGCTCCGCTATTCACCCTATGTCTTCAAGCCTCCCCGCAACATAAGGGTCTGCGTTGTCGTCCTTCCTTCGCTACCACTTTCTCTCACAGCAATCCTAAGGGAAGTTCATCTCCACGACAAACCAGTCCATTCACGACCCACTCGCACGCACCCCGCACCTGCTGTGCATCTCTCCTGTCTGCCAGACACCCAACCGTCCCCTCTTCTCGCCCTGACAGTAGCGCACCAAACAAAGATTCCTGACCAGTTGCCGTGGGCGAAAAAAAGAAAAGAATCATGGCGGACACCAGCACATTTATTAACCAGGGCTTCACCCATGCCGAACGCGCCATACAGTACGATAAGCTCGCCTGCAAGAGCAATGAGCCCGAAAACTTTGATCAAGCCAAACATTCCTACTTGCGCGCCGTCGAGTACTATTTCACAGCCCTCAAGTATGAAAAGAACGATCGCATCAAAGCTTCGCTGCGTGAAAAGATCAGTGCCTACATGGACCGCGCAGAAATCATGAAGGACTGGCTCACAAAGTACGAGCAGCGTCAACAAGAAATCCGAGAAAATGGCGGCCCCGAGGACGATGATGAACCACCAAAGGGCGACGAAGGCGCTGGTGGAGGAGGAGGTGGTGGCGGCGGGGGAGGCGCTGCCACGTCGAAGAAGGGTAAGGCAAAGAAAGATGACGAGGGCGACAAGATGCGTTTGCAGCTGGGAAGCGCTATATTGACGGAGAAACCCGACGTCAAATGGGACGATGTCGCGGGCTTGGAGGGAGCCAAGGATGCGTTGAAGGAGGCTGTCATTCTTCCACAAAAGTTCCCACAGATGTTTGTCGGGAAGCGAAGGCCGTGGAAGGGCATCCTGCTGTACGGGCCGCCGGGCACAGGAAAGAGTTATCTAGCGAAGGCCGTGGCGACGGAGGCGGACGCCCAGTTTTTCTCCGTCTCCTCGTCGGATCTCGTGTCCAAGTGGCAGGGCGAGAGTGAGAAGCTGGTCAGGGAGCTGTTCAGCATGGCGCGCGCGTCGGGCAAGGCAATTATCTTTATCGATGAAATCGATGCGCTGGTGTCGTCGCGAAGCGACAACGAGTCGGAGAGCTCGCGGCGGATAAAGACGGAGTTCCTGGTGCAGATGGACGGCGTGGGCAAGTCGACGGATGGCGTGCTACTGCTGGGGGCGACCAACATCCCGTGGGGCTTGGATGATGCGCTGCTGCGACGGATGGAGCGACGGGTGTACATCCCGTTGCCGGAGGAGCGTGCACGTGCGCGGATGCTGGAAATTCATTTGGGAAACACGCCGCACACGTTGGAGAAGAGCGACTTTACCGAGATAGCATTGCAGGCCAAGGGGTTCTCCGGGTCGGACATGGGAGTTTTGGTGAGGGACGCGATCATGCAGCCGGTGCGGACGCTGCAGAATGCGACGTTCTTCAAGCGGATTACGGTGGAGGAGGAAGGGAGAAAGATGAGCAAGTTGACGCCGTGCTCGCCCGGGGACCCGGTTGGGGAGGAGATGACGCTGATGACGATTAAAGCGGAGGAACTGCACGTGCCGATGGTGAGCAGGTACGACTTTGAGCTTGCGTTGGCGAAGACGAAGCCGTCTGTGGGGCAGGACAATATTGCGATGCACGTCAAGTTTACGGCGGAGAAGGGCCAGAGCGGTGTATAATCATTGCTGGATTGGATAGAGAGCTGAGGAAGTAGGAAATGTTTTGTGTCGGGGTTATAGAATCGTGTTACATTGTGTTTTAAAGAAGTGGTGGAGTGGTAACAAGTAAGGATGTGGGGAGGGGGCGGGGGAGGAGGAGCGGTAACTGCCGAAGGGATGCATGGTGATATTTGTAAGGCTTGTTGAGTGAGCAAAGCGTGACGTGATGCTGCTGGCACATGAGCCATGCGTTGCCTTATAACTTGTCAATTTGGTGTGGCCTCCCTAGCCCCTCCAAATTTATCCAAAATCTAACAAACCTCACTTGTTCACCTTCTCCCCGTTAGCCCACCCCCCTTCTTCTTTCCGGTACACTCGCCCTCAACGTCCGCCTCCCCCCCCCCCCCCCTTCACCCATCACTCGCCACTCACTCCCCTTCTCTGCCTCGCGACGCCATCCACTGCTGCCCCCAACAAGTACCCACGCACCATGCAGCGCGCCACCAATGAGGACGAGCGTCGTCGCATGCTCGAGCGTCTCAAGGAGGACTTCTTCCTCCCCCCCCTCTCCGAGCACAAGTATCATCTCGAGCAAGTTATCGGCGAGGGAAGCTACGGAATTGTCTGCTCAGCAGTCAACACCGAGACGGGCGAGAAAGTCGCCGTCAAGCGCATCATGCGCGTCTTCGAGGAGGCCCCCGAAGCCACGCGCACGCTACGTGAGCTCAAGTTTCTCCGCTTGCTAAAGGGCCACGATAACATCATTACCATCAAGGACGTCCTTCTTCCATCCGACCGCAACCTCTTTGACGACGTCTTCGTCGTGCTCGAGCTCATGCCCACCGACCTTACCCGCGTCCTTCGCTCCAAGATCGAGCTCTCCAACGAGCATATCCGTTGGCTCGTCTTTCAGTTGATTCGCGGCATTTATTACATCCACACTTCGCGCGTCTTCCACCGCGACCTCAAGCCCTCAAATATTCTCATCAACGCCCAGTGCGACTTGCGTATTGTCGACTTTGGTCTCTCTCGCGCCGCAGTCGACTGCCAGGAACCCGACGCCGTTTTCTGGACTGATTACGTTGCCACCCGCTGGTACAGAGCCCCGGAACTCATAATGGCCGGCGCTTCCAATTACACTCCGGCCATCGACATGTGGTCCATCGGATGCATCTTTGCTGAAATGCTTAACAAAGGCAGGGCACTCTTTCCTGGCCACAACCCAGAAAACCAACTCGACCTCATCGTCGACGCCCTAGGAAACCCGAGTCCAGAGGCCGCCGCCTCTGTCCGTGAACCTCGTGCGCGCACGCATCTGGCCCGTATGCCGCGCCGTCCGCGTCGACCAATGAAGGAGCTGTGTCCAACAGCCGATGCGCCCGCCCTGGATTTGCTCGAAAAGATTCTCGAGTTCGATCCCGTCAAGCGCATCACTGCGGAAGACGCCCTCAAACATCCGTACTTGCAAATGGATGTCATTACGCCTGGAAAGCCAATCGACATGAACGAGTTTGCGTTTGAGCGAAGGAGTCACTCCATTCCAGAATTGCGCGCTCTCTTTCTGGAGGAAATCCTAAAGTATCATCCAGAGCGAAGGGACGAATACTTGCGGCACACGGACCAGCCCGTCTTGCGCTACGCCCCTGTGGACCAGGTGTCCCGGTTTAGAGACGAGATGAATGCGCATCAAAACGGCACCGAGCCTCCGCGGGCGTGGGAGTCGATGCCAAACCAACAACTGACGCAATATTGCCATACAGCGATAGATAGTCGCAACAGCCAGACCCAGTCTGTCAGTTATCAGGGTGGTAGGCTGGGGAATGCCGTCACCACGAGCACAGATGGTGCGACACAAGCTGCGACTGCAGGTGCTTCGGGTGTCGCAAATGAGGCACACCCCAATGGAGCGCACTTGACCACGGCCAATATGAATGGCGCACCCATGGGCGCAGAAGCCGATAGAGAATATGCAGCAGCGCAGCAAGATGTAGGGATGGGGAATGGGGACGACCATCAGCTTCCCAGATATGTAGGCAAGTTTTCAACTGGCAGCGCTTCTTCCACCGTCGCATTCCGACAAGCATCGGGCGAGTTGGGTGCTGTCCCAGATAGACGCGTCAGTGAAACAGTCGAGAGCATGACGGACATTGGAACGGAAATCGTCTCCGATATGACAGACGAACAAGTGAGTGCATGAAGAGCCCTGACCCAAGCTTGTTGTTATGAGTATGCAAAGAATTGGGGGTTGTCATCCTCATGGGGTTTGTATATGCTTTCATCGACGTGCCCATGCCACGTCTCAGGGTGGAAAACGGTGACGCAGATGACGAACAACTAATGTGGGGAAAATAATGACATGCAACGCAAAAAGGCTCTAGCATGGGAGAGGCCATTAGCATGTGCATGCCTGCCTGTCCAGCCGTCGACACACTGCGCGCGTGCCCCATTTACTCTGTCATTGCCCTTATCAGCGTCGGCGGCCCTCAGGTGTACAGAGGATCTTTGAGGAGTTCATATGCGGCGCTCTTGGTTTGGGCGTGAAGGGGCAACGCGAGTGTAAGATCTGCTATTGTCAGGAATCAGTTAAGCAAGTTGTGAGAGGAGGTACCGTGCGAGCAATACCACAGAAGGCTGCAGATGCTCACTGTACAAACTTGAACGCCTGTTTATTCACGGAGTGCAGACATTGGCGTGACAGCAACTGAGCGCACTCCGAAAGTTTTCATATCTTTCTGCCAGTTTGAAAGTTAAAACAACATCACCACTGACGCCTTCCGGCTGTGCTCAATACGAGCGGATGCGGTCGCTCGCCTCAACCAAGATTGAGAGCTTTTCCCGTGCAAGTCAGCAAGCGACTGGCTGCAATCTTGAGACTATGAAAGAAATATTCGTTGCATGCATCTACCGAATGGTTGCTTTTGCTTGCTTTAGAGGGACCGGCCCGAACAAGGATCCTATCTCCACATCATCAGCACGTCTCTTCTTATGGCTCAAGGTAATGCCCGGCGGGGGCGGGGGCACCGGGTCCCCTTTCAACTTGGCGAGCTTGACCCTTAACGTATGTACGTCCTCTTCCTTCCGCAACACTGTCCTCTGGAGCTCAATGAACGTTAGAATATCCATCCTAAGCAAATCAAAGTTATCCACGACAATTGTCGTTGGCGTAGGTCTAGTCCCCACTTCCAATTCTATGAGCGCTTCATCAATGCGTCTCGATAGCCTCGCACTTTGAGTGACGGGCGTGTAAATCATACTACTCCTTGCCATAGCCCCCGACACGACTTTGCGATGTGGAAACGTCTTGTGCGGCATGTTTGCGGCCGCTGCCATCGCAAGCGCTGGATCAACGCCCTTCCTCCCATCGCCCACGGATGCGACGCCGCCTGCCGGGGTGAGCAACTTGATGAGACGCTGTCTCTCCTTAGCCAACCTCTTCCTGGACGCCTCGATACGCCTGGCCTCTCTCACGGTCTCCTCCTCCTCGCGGAGCTCTTCCTTCGACCGGCGATACTGGACGGCGAGCTGGTTCTTCCGAATGCATTCATACTCGTAGTCAAACGGGTTCATGGTGATGGCCATGCAGTGGCGCTGCAAACTCTGGCGGAGCTTGTGCTTGCCGTCCAAGAGCGAGCGGTGCTCGATGACGGCCTTCGCGATGGAGTAGTAGCGGTCCTTGAGCTCGTCGATGGAGCGCGGGGGCAAGCGGTCTGGCCAGCGGTCGTGGATGACGGGGAAGCGGAGGTCGAATTCGTAGCACAGGGCGAAGAGGGAGTCGGTCTCGTCGCGGGTCCACGCGCGCTGCAGCGGCACATGGGCGACCTGCGGGCGCTTGAGCGGGGGTTTGCGGGCCGGCTGCGTGGCCGA